TAGTCACCGACTACGATTGAACTACATCTGCTGGCATTGCTCCACTGCATTGGAAATTAGATTTTTGGGCGAAAGCCTCGAGGAGTGGTCTCCTGAGAAAGAAAACCCTGTCTTGGTCATGAAGTTCGCGTCGTGTTTGAGTCCTTTGATAAATTCACTAATTTATGTGGAGTATACATACATCTTTAGGCTCACCTTTGTATCAATATTTAACAGATAAATCCTGATAATAAGTACATAAATCCCATAGTAGTAGAGGTACTAGAAGTATTAGAAGTAATCGGAGAGACTAGGATTCGAAGATAATACTCAAGTATAATTCAGTGAGGTAAATTTAGAAAGAGAAAGATAGAGGTGATGAAGAATTCAGAATGTTAGGACTTGAGAAAACACAAAGAATGAATGTACAGGCGCCTTTGCAAACGACTTTGAGCCATGTCATTCAGGTTTTCTAACCATCGATTACTATCATCTCGCGGACTCCAACCAGGTAGTCGACATCTACTGACATGAGTCAGTTCACATGTCAGTGAATTCATGGATTTGTGCCATGTTTTGGTCTGGCCGCCCCAAGCTTTCGTTCAACCTATTCCTAAATCACCGGCTACAATTAAACTACGTCTGCTGGCATTGCTCCACTGGAAGTGGTCTCCTGAGAAAGAAAACCCTGTCTTGGTCATGAAGTTCGCGTCGTGTTTGAGTCCTTTGATAAATTCACTAATTTATATGGAGTATACATACATCTTTAGGCTCACCTTTGTTTGTATCAATATTTAACAGATAAATCCGAGAAAATAAGTACATACTAGGCTGAGGTGTACCGTCAGCAACAACCAACTGTGGGAGACAACAAACCAGATTCCAGTGGAGGAGGAGATCAGGAAGAAGCGGTGGAAGTGGATAGGACACACACTACGAAAAGCACCTAACTGCGTCACAAGACAAGGCCTCACTTTTGGAACCCTCAAGGCAAAAGGAAAAGAGGAATGCCAAGGAGCATATTACGTCGAGAAATTGAGAAAGATATGAGAGGAATGAACAAACATTGGACAGAACTGGAGAGGGAAGCCCAGGAGGACAGAGTTGGTTGGAGAGTGCTGCTGGTGGGCGGCCTGTGCTCGCGATTGGGGGTAACAGGTGTAAGTAAGTAAGTAAGTAAGGCTGAGGTGTAGTTAGTTATTTTTGTTTCCTACTGATATAAACTTTCACTATAACCTGGTTATTTTTAGAATCATTTTTTTTAAAAAAAAAATAATTTAATTCTAATTATTAAATAAAGTGCAAAAAATAAATTGAAGATATAAAAAAAGACCACAACTTACCAATGTAGGTTTTACTTTGTAAGTTATAATTAATGCAACCACAGTTAATGTAATTGCTATAACAACAGCAAGATACTTTAAATTTTTATTTGTCATTTCGTTATTTCGTTATTTGGGTTAAGAAAATGATAGAACGATAAAAGAAAAATAAAAAGAGAATGAGTAGTCAGAATAAAATAATAAAATAAAAATGATTCTTTGAAATTTAAAATCAAAGAGTTTATTTTTTCTCAAATTCAACATGTTAGGGATGTTAGATCCCCCAGAACTCACTTGATAAATAAATGTCCTGAATTTTGGATTTGATTCATGCGCTGACCGGTTGACCTTAAGGTTACATTTCTCTCACCAGCAAAATCTTTAGCTGTGATTGTGTTACGCATGAATGTAAACATGTCTGTTTGATATGCTTGAATTATGATTACGAGTTGACCTTAGTCGTAAAACTAGATCGAGCATCGAGGATCCGGCCACATGACAGGCTACTCTAAGCCGAGTGTTCCAACACCCATATTGAGTGAAAGAAGAAGACGATATGAAGTAGAACATGTATTCTCTACAAGCATCCAGAAAGTACGAGGTCCGAGTCCAGAAGAGAATCAACATCCTGGACTAGGGGTCCGGGTCCCTGTCCGGTTCGTAAAACGTTACAGATAATGCCAATACGAAACAACATTGGAGTACGTGACATTTATATCAAGTACGACCATAAAATTAACCAGTAGGAATTGATAAATAATTCTCTTAGGACACAACTACTTGGGAAGTTCACTAGAATCCCTATAGCGTCCACTATGTTTAAAAGACGTGATCAAACCTCATGAGGAAAGCTAGTACATGTATGATTAATTACTTTGTATGATATATTTCCTTTTAATCTATGATAACTATCGATCAATTGTGACAGAACAGATCGTCTATTATTTTAGTCACCAATCTCAACTACGAAGAGAGGTATTCGATTTGCGTAAGCATAAGAAAGTGGACATCCCTGACGGATACCACATGAAGTAATCAATTTTCGATGATATTTCGCCACAGGCTCTGACGCAAACAGTAGTGCTCGAGTAGAGAGCCTTTATGAGGTTAATGTACTTTTTTGGTACACATTCTAATGACAGACACTGCCAAAGAACCTCACGAATAACTAAATTGAACGTCGCTTTGAAGTCCAGGAAGACAACTATAGTTGGGCGTAAAAATGTGTCTCTATGTTACGGGACCTAATGAAGAGTGAATATATCGTCTATGCATCCATCTCCTGGTCGGAAACCAGCCTGGTTTTCTCTAGTCTGCTCTTCATGAGCTCTTGTCAGGCGTCGAATTTTTATCGAGGCTAACATTTTAGACACTATATTAGTTAGAATGATTCCTCTGTGTGAATGCCAAAAGAGGATTTTTATCCCTTCTTATAGACTGGTATAATCAGCGATTAGACCATTCAAATTCTACCTAAGATCTCAGTCAATCTCACTGCTAAAACTGGACCACCATCCTTAAAAACCACAGCAATGAACCTATCAGGCCCTGCTACTCTCCCTTGCTTCAGATTTCCTATAGCTTTCTCAACTTCATTAAGAACCGGACGACTTATGCCAATTTGTCATTCAGGATGATTAGGGATTGTGGGCAACCGGAAGTATTGGATGACTTGTTTAGATTACAGTCAACCAGGGAACTATGTATATCACTTTGAACGAAATTTGAATAATCTCATCGTTCATACTTAGAAATGACATTTTATCAGTCTTGATGTGTGCTTTTTTTTTAACTTGGGAGCATATATGTTTATGGTCAGTTGATCATTTGCTCTGCTTCTGATAACCAGTTTTATACATGAAGATAGCAGTACAAAACAAGACAATGAAATTCCTTTTTTAGGCATTTTCTCATTACTATTAACAATATTAAGTAGTATGGAAATGTTTATTTATTCGACGTTCTCAATGAAAATCATTACTGCTTTTACTTACTATTCCAAGACAAAGTTTCGATCTACAACACACACCAATGATACCCAACAAACAGATTGCCATCAAAATCGCACCAATGATAAAGATAACCACGCCAATTGGTTCTGATATTTGACAAAAATATTTAAAAGAAGAATACAATGGAACGAATGAAAAGTAGAAAATAAAATTTACTTATGATTATTTAGATTAAATTCAAATATCATATTTTTTAGGCATTCTTGGAATTAACAGATATCATTTTTGTTGTATTGTTAATAAATGTCAAGACAGTTCTACTGTATGGAGTGGAAACTTGGAGAACTACGAAAGGCATCATCCAGAAGAGACAATTGTTTATTAACAGTTGTCTACGCAAAATACTTCGGATTCGTTGGCCAGACACCATCAGCAACAACGTATTGTGGGAGAGAACAAACCAGATTCCAGTGAAGGAGGAAATCAGGAAGAAGTGGTGGAAGTGGATAGGACACACACTACGAAAAGCACCTAACTGCATCACGAGACAAGCCCTCATATGGAACCGTCAAGGCAAAAGGAAAAGAGGAAGGCCAAGGAACACAATACACCGAGAAATAGAGAAAGATATGAGAGGAATGAAAAAACATTTGACAGAACTGGAAAAGGAAGCCCAGGACAGACAGAGTTGTTTGGAGAAAACTGGTGAGCGGCCTATACTCCATTGGGGGTAACAGGCGTAAGTAAGTAAGTAAGTAAGTAATGAATGAATGGATTGACAAAATGCATTGTAAATTGATCAAAGTTGAAAAAATAGATTATCAGATTGATAATTCAATAATTCAAAAGTTACACAGTGATGGTAAACTGTAAAACTCTCTGAATTCAACTTACAGGGGAGCTGTTGCAAGTGTGTAGTGTTTTGGGAGGTTGCATACTAAGATGAAATGTATGTGTTTACACTTAGGTAATTTTTCAAAAGTTTTTAAATGATTTTAACTCACTTAAAGTTTGTTTAATTGAATGTTGAATAATCGTTTAATTAACCACCAAAAACAGTTTGATTTTATCCTTCATTTTGATAGTTCATTGATGGATAGATAGATGTGTGGATAGATAGATAGATGTGTGGATAGATAGATAGATAGATAGATGTGTGGATAGATAGATAGATAGATGTGTGGATAGATAGATAGATAGGTCAAAAGACAACTGGGCTAATTAATTTTTCCGAAAGCTGGGACGAGATATGTAAGCTAGACATAACAGCACTCACTACACTATCATTCTATAAGACTAGAAAGACGGTAATTAAGTTGCGAAAACTAACGAAACTTCAGTCACTTAGGACTCATGAACGTTGCGCATCCACGACTGTCGCTACTCGCAGGATTCGAAACCTGGAATCTTCGGGTCATGCACGCAAACGCTTAACCTCTGGGCCACTGAGCCAGAATCCAACGATGTTAATGTCTAACTTCAACCAATCCACGGTCTTACGCAACCGCATCCATTGGCTTTGGTGAGTACTGCCTCACACCCAAATAGCGTTCAACTCTACCTGGTCACGAACCACCTTTTAGATACCTCCTGCTCAGTGGTTCAAAGATTAGGTGTTTGTGAACAAGACTGAAGGTCCTATGAGCAGCAGAAGTCTGGGATGTGCACTGTCACTGATGAATAGTCCTATACCAAGACGAAACGGGGCTATCCAGTGCTTTCAGGTTTCTAATGGTGGTCTAACATGTTACACTAAAAAAACAGAAATTACAATTGGAAAATAATCCATGCAAATTGTACTTACGAATAATGCTTATAATATTATTCACTAATGAAGTAGCATCCACAGTCATTTTACTTGCAAATGTTGTTTTAATATAAGTCACTAATGTACTATTCAAAATAGTTGTAATTGTTGTCGGACTCCATGCTAATAGGCCACCAATCACAACGATAGCAATTGATATTGTCTAATACGGGAAAATAATAAAATATAATAAAATAGTGTTATTTTATTTCAATGAAATATATATATATATGTATATACTACTAATTTCATGTTATAATCAGTCAGTCAGTCAGGTGCAACGTAGAACTTGGTACGTAAGTACATCAGTTCAAGTTGCCATACCACCACATTAGAACAGAGATGCAATTGTCAATTCAAATCCCATAGAGTAGTAGAGGTACTAAAAGTATTAGAAGTAATCGGAGAGATTAGGGTTCGAAGATAATACTCAAGTATAATTCAGTGAGGTAAATTTAGAAAGAGATAAATAGAGGTGATGAAGAACTCATAAGGTTAGGACTTGAGAGAACACAAAGAGTGGATGCACCTGCTCCATTTCAAACGATTTTGAGCCATGTCATTCAGGGTTTCTAACCATCGATTACTATCATCTCGCGGATCCCAACCAGGTAGTCGACATGAGTTAGTACACTAACTTGGTTTATTCATAAGTAATCTTACTAATAGTATAATTTTGATCATTCTTTGTTTATTTAAGCAGACAAATTCAATGAAACATTTAATTGGAATAAACCTGTTGACTTTGCTTACTATCACCCTTTCTCTTTCTCCTGGTCATCCATCGACTGGATTATGAAGACGTCGACATCTGGAGGGAAGCACGGTATCCAAAAGACAGCTAGGATGCAGATGGGCGATCTAGACTTCGTAGATGACCTGGCTCTTCTATCGCACACGCAACAACAAATGCAAGAGAAGACAACCAGTGTAGCAGCAGCCTCTGCAGCAGTAGGTCTCAACATACATAAAGGAAAAAGCGAAATTCTCCGATGCAACACAACATGCACCAACCGAATCACTCACTCTTGATGCAGATGACTTGGAGGAGGTTAATACCTTCATATATCCTAGCAGCATCATCGAAAACCAAGGCGGATCCGATGCAGATGTGAGGGCGCGGATTGGCAGAGCAAAGACTGCATTTCTACAGTTGAAAAACATCTGCAACTCCAAACAAATATCAACCAAAACCAAAATCAGGATTTTCAATACACAAATGTCAAGACAGTTCTACTGTATTGAGCGGAAACTTGGAGATCTACGAAAGGCATCATCCAGAAGATACAAGTGTTTATTAACAACTGCATACGCAAAATACTTCGTATTCGTTGACCAGACACCATCAGCAACAGCTTATTGTGGGAGAAAACAAACGAGATTCCAGTGGAGAAGGAAATCAGGAAGAAGTGGTGGAAGTGGATAGGACAAACACTACGAAAAACAGCACAAAAAGCACAAGACAAGGCCTCACATGGAACCCTGAAGGCAAAAGGAAAAGAGGAAGGCCAAGGAACACATTACACCGAGAAATAGAGAAAGATATGAGAGGAATGAACAAACATTGGACAGAACTGGAGAGGGAAGCCCAGGAGGACAGAGTTGGTTGGAGAAAACTAGTGAGCGGCCTATGCTCCGTTGGGGTTAACAGGCGTAAGTAAGTATCCTGTTGACTAGTGAATATCTAAATTCAATGAACTGCCTTTTATAGCTCAATTTTAAAATTTTACTGTTGATACTGTAATGATTATGTCAGTCACTTAAACAAATGATCAGAATTCAATCCAATGCACTCAATAAACAACCATTAAAATAATTTTGTTTGAATAAGCGGTATTTTTCTTTGGGTGACTAATTGCTAACGATAATCGAAGTTTAAAAATGTTAAAATTGTAACTGTTTTGGAACAGTATATCGTCGTGTTAAAAGTTTAGGATTTGTACCAATCTCACTAGTAACGTAAATGAAAATTATCAATAAAAATTTCATCTCTAACAGTTTATAAACTGTTAGTAAACTTCCAGTTTTCAGTTATGATTACAATTCAACAGAGTTGAACAAAAATATTTGTCAGGTAATGAAATACAAAAGAAACGGTTATAACGCTGATCAGGCACTGCAAAACATTGTTAACATTCTGTAGGTTAACAACATCCTTTTTCTTGAAATGATCAAAAAACATCCTTCTAAGCTATCCACTGAGAAGAACAATCCTATGTACTCCATCTGAAGCCCCTCTGGAGTTACTGCCGGTCTCAAACCCGGATAAAGGAGGAGGATTGTACATGGGGTCAGCGATCCTATCCTGTAAGAAAAGTGACTCGCTAATGGAGGCGCTAACTTGTAAATTTTGCCTTTCTTTATATCAGATCTATACAAGATCTTTGTATTAGATGTTGGTTAACACTATTTACTATTCAAAAGCTTCCAAGGAAAGAATTTTCATAGAAAATATTTAAAACAAACGTAGACTTTAAGCATTATCGGAAGACACATGAACTAAGCTTCTCATAGTAAATGAAACATGATCAATTGTAATTTGCAACTGAAAGGAAACAAATTCTTCTGATAACAACTGTTGTGGATGTTAGATCCCCAGAACTCGCTTGATAAATGTCTTTATTTTGGATTTTATGCATGGGCTGATCAGTTGACCTTGAGATCACATTTCCCACCAGGAAAATCCTTGGCTATGATTGGTTACTGTGTCATTTTAGTATGCTATTTTTGTAACTGTCCCAAAGAGACATCTCTATAGAGTATAAATAAACGCGATTTGAGTGCTTGGATTGATTGTGTATGTGCTGGCTGGGCTGTGTTTGTAGAATACACTTTCTACACTAAATCAAGACTTCTTGCTGGTACATTTGGGACAAACGAATCACAGTAGCCTAACTGGACGTTGGTTCACTATTTTGTTCTCGTTATTCGACTAAGTTGGAGTCGTAATAGTTTTAAGTATACCTAATCAATCACACAATAGGTCAACTTTATTTGCAGCATAAAAATCAATAACAAAGTGCATTCACTCACCAGAAAGATACTATTAATAATCGTTAAAATACAACCACTAGCACACATTTTCTTTCGGAATTTGAATCAATTGTAATCAATACCGAAACACTGAGAAAAATGATAACACAATTGAAATAAAAACAAGATAGATAAATATTTTCTAAACAACATGTACGAATTCAATGTAGGTGAAAATGACATGAAAAAGTACATTTCTTTTTTTATTCAGTAAAATCCTAGACAAATGGAGTTCGTTAGATTACTCAAAATAAACTAATGAATATATTCATTCGAATACGTATTCACTGTTTAGAATTCCAGTATCATAAGGAAAACAAGTTCAGCCTATTTGATAGAGAGAGAGAGAGAGAGTATGATGAATTAACTAAGAGTTTTTTGTTGTTCTTCTGTAAGTCATTGTGAAATCCAAATACTATTTGTTATTGAATTAGGGCTTTCTATTTTCGTTGGCTATCATTAGTGTGAAATAGTACATTTTGTCTTTACACTTTACTAACAAGTTGTTTGTACTGTGTGCATCATCCAACTCGAAGGCTGAATACAATTAGGTAGATTTACAGAGAAATCCCAATAATTAGTATTGTAGAGGATTAGTCTAATTTATTAGGTAGTAGTTGTAAGCAATCATTGTATTTTTCACTCTCAATAGCACCTTTCATTAAGAAAAGTATGAAATATTCAGTGAACTAACATCTACTGTATGATTCAAATCTATTTTTATTAAGAATTATAATAAGAAGTGTTACAGTTGAACTACTTGAGGTGAAATCAATCCTAGAGGTATTCACATACACACTGAGTGACTGACTGACTGACTGACTGATCATTGAATACTTAATTGTGTGATTATTACTAAAAGTTGTGTGTTGAAGTCAGTCTAAAATGCATGCAACACAGTAGCTTATAGCTTGCATCCCTTTTCTCTAAGTAAAATTTGATTTGAATAGCTAATTAGTCTAGTTAACCATTGAAATCATTGAAAATTTTAATGATCTAACTGTATTGTACCAACGAGGAGACAGAGGTAAGAAACATCATAAACTTGAAAGCTAATGTGAAAGCTAATTGTTGAAGAGTTGTAAGATAAGACAGTACACGTAAAAAAAGAATGCTAACTCATTTTCAACAACTAACAAATATCAGTTAATGAGAAAACTTTGATTTGAAATTTAACAACGGTTGGTACAAGATGTAAGTTTAAAATCAAGAACAATAATTTCAGCTAGTAGCTAAAGTAATATTATCTGTTGAATAGAACAGTTGTAATTAAGAAATAACTTTGAGTTATTGATTTAAACCTTCTTAATGAGAATTAATTTACTGATGAATGTTTAGTCAAAAGTTTACTTTCCATTTAGACTTAGTTAACTCCAAATTATCGTTGTGAATATACACATGTTTGCTTTGATAATATTCAGAAATCAGTAAGTTTAGAGGTAAATTTTTCAAAACTCCAATATCAGTTGAAGTGTTATTCAACCATGAAATCTAAGAAACAATCAACCAGTCTTATCTTATCTCATTTGAAGTTGGAACTATTCTCATTATCACAGTGTTAAAGCTAGAAACGTCAGGTCTTCCAAAGTGTACAATATGTCTACAAGCTTTGGGTTTCTACTCTGTTGGTCACATTTCTAACAGTTGGTTCAGATTTCCTCATCGGAATGTTCGCATTGCTATACCAATATCTATAATCTCCCGAAGACTCATCATCATATACGTGTAGTAAAACGCAGTGTTACTTTCATTTAAACCAAAATCAACATTAAGGCGAAAAATAAGTTAATAAATGGGGACTTACATATTTGACAATGTTAAACTCTACTCTGCACACTTCAAGTTGTGACTTTTTGTCAACAGTAGTGAACAGTAGTGATGATTTAAAGCAGATAAATGATGATAGTTTTACCTAGAAAAAAAAAATTACGTTTTAATCCATAAGTTAGAAGCAGACGAATAGTACTGCATCCTTTATATATATATATCTATAGATATATGAATGAATGAGGTCAATATAATTAGCCAGGGTGACGTAATAGAAAAAAATGGAAGGAATATACTGGTACTACTCATTAAAAAAGTTGTTTAAATATTTGTTTGTATGTGAGTGTGCAAGTCTGTGCAACACTTTATCATCGTGCCATTGTCAATTCATTTAATTATAACCAATTTAATCATAAAATTTATAGACAAACAAATTTTTATGCAATTTAAGGTCAATTTTATTTCAAGATAATAGTCAATGATTTAGTTGGTCATTTGGAATAGTATAAAAAAGTCATAGCAACCGATCAACAGTTGTCTACACAAAATATTTTGGATTCCGTAACCAGACACCATCAGCAACAACGTACTGTAGGAGAGAACAAACCAGATTCCAGTGGAGAAAGAAATCATGAAAAAGCGGTGGAAGTGGATAGGACACACACTACGAAAAGCACCTAACTCCGTCACGAGACAAGCCCTCACATGGAACCCTCAAGGCAAAAGGTAGAGAGGAAGGCCAAGGAGCACATTACTTTTCCGAGAAATAGATAAAGATATGAGAGGAATGAACAAAAATTGGACAGAACTGGGGAGGGAAGCCCATGACAGAGTTTGTTGGAGGAAACTGGTGAGCGGCCTATGCTCGCGATTGGGAGTAACAGGCGTAAGTAAGTAAGTAAGTAAATTTGACAATCAAATAAAATAATTTGTAAAATATTTTTCTATTGACAGCACAATACAGGACGGTGTTGTTGCGCCAAATTTAAATTATCGTCACTTATATGTAATAGCAAACGATAAAATCTACTAACAAAATTATAGTATGCTATGCACCACCTACCAATAATAACAATGAAGACGTTAAAGATCAATTCTATGGGAGGTTGCAGTCAATCACTGAAATATGTCCAACAAAGGATTTGACCATTCTGATAGGAGACTTAAACGCCAAGGTTGTAATGGACAACACTGGATATGACAACATCATAGGACGACATAGACTGGGAAGAAGGAACGGAAACGATGAGAGACTCACAAATCTATGTGGCTTCAACAAACTTGGGATAGGAAGCACCATATTCTCACAAAAATACATATACGAAACTATGTGTTTCACCAGATCATACTACACAGAAGAACCAAATCGACCCCTTCTGAAGGACCATAGAGCACATAAAAATTTAGAGAGGAGCTGTCATAGTTTCAGATAATTACTTAGTAGTGATCTTAAAAGTGACACTAAAACTAAAAAGCACTGAACAACTGGGCGAACAACATCACAAAAGGTTAATACGGCTTCTCATTGGGATACTGGCAAACTCAACTAATTCAAGATAGTCCTCAACAGTAAGTTACAAACTATTCACGATCTACTCAATGAAAAGAAAACAACCATGGAAAACAACTGGAAAGGGATCAAAGTATCAATAAGTTCCGTATGTCATGAGGTTCTAGACCACTAGAGGCACCATCTCCGTTCATAGTCTGGAAAAGATTCAAGGAGGAATCAACAAGAACGCAGCAATCAATCACAGCTGATTAAGAGTAGTGAAAACCAAGGCACAAACTGAATACACCGAAGCAAACAAGGAAGTGAAGAGAAGCGTTAGAACTGATAGGCAAAAATACGTGGAAGACCTATTTATGAGAGCAGAAAAAGCTGCAAGAGAAGGATACATGAGAAAACTATACGATGAAACGAAGAAGCTTGATGGAAAATATCGTGAATCAGAACGACCAGTGAAATGCAAGTAAGATGAAGCAATCACCGACACTGAAGAATGGATAATTAGGTGGGTAGAGAACTTTGAAGAACTTGTGAATCGACTAGCCCCATTTAACCCTCCCAACATAGAAGCAGCATCCACGTACCTTCAAATTAATGTTGACCCATCAACAAGTGACATTATCAGCATTGCGATCAGACAACTCAAGAGTGACAAGGCAGCGGGACCAGAGAATATTCCAGCAAGCGCACTGAAAGCAGACGTGACAGTAACTACGAAGATAATCCACATTCTTTTCAGCACGACTTGGGAAGAAGAACAAGTATCAAGAGAATGGAAAAAAGGACACCTCATCATAATAACAAAGAAAGGCAATCTCAGCAAACATGAAAAATACAGAGGCATCACTCTTCTCTCATTACCAGTTAAAGTCTTCAATAGGGTATTGTTAAACAGAATGAAGGACTTAGTAGACGTTCAACTTCAAGATCAACAGTCTGGATTTTGTAAGGATACATCATCTACCAACCAAACTGCAACATTACGGATCATTGTGGAACAATCAATTGAATAAAAGTCACCACTCTACATCAACGACTACGAGAAACCATTTGAGAGCGTGGACAGGATATCTGTTGGTATCAACGTAGAACTTAGTACGTATGTACATCAGTCCAGGTTGCCGTAACTCGATAGCACAGAGATGCAACTGTCGATTCAAATTTTGTAGTGGTATATGTAGTAGAACATAGACCGATATCTAGTCTATGTCATAAATGACGTAACTTGGCAAAAACCAATTGAGCCTTCAGTATTGAAATGCTCGTCAACTTATATGCTTGAAACTATTACAAGTTCACCTTAATCGGTAAACAAGAGCGAAGACAAATGATCCAGGCTATTCTAATCTGTTGTCCCAGGAACTGCTAACTATATCAAGATGTCTTGATAAGGCGTAGAAATTGTATTCCACAAGTACCCAGAAAATATGAGGTTGACAAGCACACAATGGTAGAAACATCCTTGTGAGCGTCACAAAAATAGCGTGCTAAGATAACACATCAAGCAATGACAGTTAAGGATTTTTTCAGTGGGAAGTGTAATCTCAAGAGCAACTGATCAGCCCATGCGCGAAAACACAAAATTCAAATTAAGACCTTTATCAAGTGAGTTCTAGGGATATAATGTTCCCAACAAGTATCCATGCCGATATTTCATCAGACACCGGGCTATCGGCATTGATGAGACTCCCAAGATAAGTGGAGTGGCCAACGCGCTCAGCTAATTCACTCCCTATCACTAGTTCAGGTGCCAACATAAGCCAATCCTGAAGCAACATTTTGAATTTCGAGGGAGAGAACAGTATCCCGAACATGCCTGCATTGTTGTTTAGGGTGGTCAGAAGACTGCATTTTGTGAGCGTCTTTGTCAAGTAGAACTATGTCATCTGCATATTCTAAGTCAACAAGTGAATCTCTGAGCGAAAGTTCAGTTCCTGAAAACTCAAATGAAGATAATGTCATCTCTGCAGGCATGTCAATGACCAAGTTGAATAAGAATGGGGAAAGTAGACAACCTTGAGGAACAGCAATTTAAGTAATGAATCCCGATGAGAGTTCGCCATAAACTCATACTCAGCCAGTGATATTCGAATAGATAGATTGTATAAGGTTAATGTACTTTTTTGGTCCTCCTTTCATTGACAGGCACTGCTGTAGAAACTGACGATTGTGGACAGGATAGCACTATGGAGACTCCCTCAACACTACGGTTTGCCTGAGAAGATAATCACTACCATACGGGATACTTATGATGCATTTAACTGCATAGTCGTGTATAGAAGAAAGCTCTTAGACTCGTTCCAAGTGAAGACCGGTGTCAGATAAGGTTGCGTAGGGTCACTCTTTATCTTTCTTCTGGTGGAAAACTGGATGGTGAAGACGTCAACATCTAAACGGAAGCAAAAGATACAGGGGACACTAGGATGCAGCTGGAACATATAGACTTCCCAGAGGATCTGGCAACTCCGCCAGTAGAACCTTAGGGGCTACTGCCGGTCCCAAGCCCGGATAAAGGAGGAGGGTTGGACATGGGGTTGGCGGCCCCATTCCGTTGAAATCTAACTTGCCAAAACAACGCTAACCAGAAAAAATAATTCAAACCATTTTAACTCTGCCCTGGGAGTTGGAAGAAGAATTATGACGTCTCGTGATGAAAGCCGAGTCCCCTCGGAAGTCACGGGGCCGATGCCTCTTCTGACAACCAGAGCAACCATTTTTTTAGGTACATGGAACGTTCGTACATTGTGGGAGACTGGAAGACTATTTCAAGTTGCTGCAGAAATGAAAAGATACAACCTCGAGGTGCTCGGCATCAGTGAAACACATTGGACACAGGTAGGACAACTGAGACTTGCTTCAGGGGAACTGCTGTTATACTCTGGTCATGAAGAGGAAAACGCTTCACATACACAAGGAGTTGCACTGATGCTGTCCAAACATGCACAAAAGGCACTGATAGGATGGGAATCTCATGGGCCGAGGATCATTAAAGCATCCTTCAAAACAAAGAAAGAGGACATTACAATGAACGTCATCCAATGTTATGCACCTACCAATGACTACAATGACGACGTTAAAGATCAATTCTACGAAAGGCTGCAGTCAATCGTCGAGAAATGTTCACCAAAGGATTTGACGATTCTTATGGGAGACCTGAATGCCAAGGTTGGAATGGACAACACTGGATATGAAGACATCATGGGACGACATGGACTGGGAGAAAGGAACGAAAACGGTGAGAGATTTGCAAACCTATGTGCCTTCAACAAACTGGTCATCGGTGGCACAATATTCCCACACAAACGCATTCACAAAGCCACATGGATTTCACCGGATCACACTACTCAAAACCAAATTGACCATATCTGTATCAACAAAAAGTTCAGAAGGACCATGGAGGATGTGAGAACCAAGAGAGGAGCTGATATAGCTTCAGATCACCACTTGCTGATCGCCAAAATGAGATTGAAGCTAAAGAAGCACTGGACAACGGGGCAGACAACATCACAGAAGTTTAATACGGCCTTTCTTCGGGATACCGTAAAACTCAACGAATTCAAGATAGCCCTCACCAATAGGTTCCAGGCCTTTCAGGATCTACTCAATGGAGAGGAAGCAACATTGGAGAACAATTG